TCCAAAGGCTGCGGGGCAGCGCAGGGACGCGGAGGAGGAGCTGCTGGCGCCCCCCGGGTCCCAAGCCCAAGAGTGCCCGGGGCATGGGGCCAGGACACCTGCTGCGAGCCCAGCCGCGCGTGGGCCTCGCCCTGTGGAGCCCCCTCCGGAGCCTGGGCTGCCCCTCAAAGGTGGCTGCTTCCCACAATGCCCTAGGTGTCCATTCAACCTAGAAAATGACCGAAAGTGCATAGATGAGTTCAAGACTCAGCACTGGCATAAGTGTGCACCTGTGTGCATGCATACACCCCCCCCACACACACACACAGCTGGACAAGTACAGCTGCTTGGAGAACATTTAGTTCATCCTTTTGTATATCAGAATGTTATCTAAAATAACCCCAAACCCATGATGCGTAGCCTTGAAGATGTGATGTGGATTCTAGGCAGTCCTCACTCTGTGCAGCGTGGCATTGGTGCCATGCTAATGACAACGTTGGTATAGTGGCCAAGAATACAAAGTACTTGAGTTCCATGTTCTCCACTTGCTGTGTCACTGGGGGCAAGTTCTTGAGTGCTTTTGTGAGTTGGTTTCCTTCCATTTTAAAGGCAAATAATGAGCCTGTAATCCTAGGTACTCAGAAGATTGAGATCTGATTATCTCAATTTGAATCTAGCCAATACAGACTAATTGGAAAGACTGTTAACTCCAATTAACCATGAAAAAGCTGGAAGTGGAGGTATGGTTCAAATTGTAAAGTGCTAGCCGTGAGTGAACAAGTCAAGGGACAGTGCGCAGGCCCTGAGTTCATGTTCCAGTACCAACACACACACACACACACACATAGAACTATATAACTAGCCTCCATAAAGTTCTAATCACTAAAATAATTCCAAATTAAAATCAGGCCTCAATTAGGTAATATAAATTAGACCAATTCTTATACATAGTCTGTGTTTCTATGGGGGAATCCCAACCCCTGGAGAACTCTACTACTGCCTTCTCCCTTCCAAGGAAACCGCCAGGTGTCCTTGCCCTTCAGCATCATGTCCTTATGCTGGATGGATGCATTCTAGTCTGGTTGGTTCTCCTTAAAATTATTTGACCCAGGATGATGGCAAAATAACAACAGTTATAGGCAACAAACCATCAGACTGCAGAGACTCAGGATGTGGCTAGACAGTGCCAGTGTGTGTCAATGAAATGCCAGTACTGGCTCTGTCACCACACTGCCCTGTGAGGACCTTTGTCATTTCCTTCTTTACTGTCAAGAATCAGAGAATCAATTCACATCTCTGAAATTATTTCACTCAACCTTTCTCTTTTTGTCCAGTGCTAATACAGTGGCCTGGACAGGGTTTGTTACCGTTTCTGCTCATGATTGGCTCTACCACTGGAGCCCCAGCTCCACTTCCAGCTTCTCACTGGTTAACTGGAGATGAGTCTCAAGGACTCTGCAGCCTACATGGTTTTGACTAGGCCCCATGGATCTCAGCCCCAAGGAGTTAGGATTACAGGCATGAGCCACTAGTGCCCATGCCATCATATCGTGTGTTAGAAGTTTTGGTTCTTTACAGCCAAGTTAAAAGCAAAACATTCAAACGGTTATAAAGATCTGCTTTACAAAAGTCATCACCACCTATTAGAGTTGCCAGTCTGGCAGTATTCATCCACTTCCCTGCCCAGGAAGTGACACCTGAATAGTCACATGTCAGGGCTTTTGAAAGGTTCAGTTTTTTCTAACTACAACGGGTGTGCAGAGGAACTGGGTGTAGGTGTGGGTGTGGCTCTGGAGGGAGGCACTCACCCTGACTGTGCTTCTGCATACAGTGGGACCTGACATCTCTCGGGAAGATGTTTAGAACTGTCCCATTTGCCTTGGGTTCCCCTGGAATAACAGCAATCACAGGTGAAATTGTGGCTTGTGGAGTGGCTGAAAAGCAGCTGCAGCAGTACTGTGAAATCCTGCCCCCAAACGAGGCACCACCTGTGAGCAACTTTGGAGTCTTACACCAAGGGCTGGTAAGCACCAGAGGAAGTTCAAATTGAAGTGCTGGCAGCCATCTTTGTATTGCAGTGAACAATAGATGAATACATCCAGCACTGGGGAATGTAGCACAGTGGGAGGAGGCTTGCAGAACATGCAGGGAGTTAGACCGCAGAACCACAAAAGGAAAAGAAGCAACACCCCCCAGTCCTAAAGAACCTCTAACAAATACACTTCAGGATTACTTAAAATGAAAGTTTCCTCCAAAAACTTTGCATCTTTCGTTTTTTATAGGCCATGTTCTGTGAATATTCTTAATAACCTACAATATCTGAATCATTACTTTTTGTGTGTCTTTGTCCTGGGGTTTGAGCTCAGGGCCTGATCATTATCCCTAAGCGACAGTGCCACTTCCAGTTTTCTGGTGGTCACCTGGAGAGGAGTGTCTCATAGACTTTTCTGCCTGGGCTGGATTTGAACCACAATCCTCAGATCTCAGTCTCTTGAGTAGGTAGGATTACAGGCTTGAGCCATGAGCACCTGGCTCCTTTTTTTTTTGTTTTTGTGTCACTATTGAGGCTTGAACTTAAGACCTTATACTCTTGGGTGGTTTTATCACTATATCAGCAGGCCACTCCTCCACTTCTGCTGTTTTCTGGTTCAGTGGAGATAAGAGTACTTTGGATTTGCCTACTCAGGTTGTCTTTAAATCTCAATCCTCAGATCTCAGGCTTCTGACAAGCTAGGTTGGCAAGTGTGAGCCACCAGTGCCTGGTACATCTGAACAATTTCAAAACTCCTGGACAAATAATTCATACATTTAAAATAAGCTGTGAAATCATTCCCATAACTTTTCTGTGGAAGGACGTGTTAAGAAACTGGGATTTATGGGGAGTTTGATGACAAGACCTAGAGTTTGATTTGGGATGGAAGGACATCAGACAGAAGCAGAAGAGGAAAATCAGGTCTAAAAGCCACAAAGAAAAATGTTAACAAGTGCTTCTCAGAGTAACACAGATTAGGGAAAAAAAATACATCAACACCTCAGATGTCCAGCCAGGTGGAAGCAATTCCTAACTGGACCTTAGCTATCTTCCTCGGCTGAGGAGATGTAGTGCCAAATGAAATTGCTGGTCTTCTTGCTTCAAAATTAAGAATTTCAGGCCAGTGCTAGTGGCTCACAACTGTAATCCTAGCCACTCAGAAGGCTGAAATCAGAAGGCTCTTAGTTTGAAGTCAGCTCCTGGTAGGAAAGTCCCTGAGACTCTTATGTCCAGTTAACCAGCAAAAAGCAAGGCTCAAGTATACAGCACAACCTGTGGGCTTAAAGTGGACTCAGAGGCACTGATTTTAACCACCTGAAACCATAAACAAATTATCAGCACACCATTTGACTACGCAAATGATGCTTCTGAGCACAGGATCAATGGTGATTCCACACGTGAATCCAGGGAGCCAGCCCCACACCTCCATTTCCGAAGGGCTCTCCATCACACACTGGGGTGAGGGGCAGAGGGTGGTGACTTGATGACCAGCCAGGCTCTCCATCTTTACTTGACATTCTGTGCTGTGAGGATCAAATTAAAACATGACAAGATACACTTCATAATTTGAAAAATAGCATGTGATTTATTTTCCATCAGAACCATTTCAAGTATGGAAACAATTTCATTGGCCATGTTACAGTGAAGAAGAAAAATATTTGATCTAAAAAAGCAGTGCTTACTTTGAATGTTCAAGGAGTTGGTGTGGACGGACCGAGCAGTACAAAAAACAGAACAGGGAGGAGGGGAGAGGACCCCCAAGGCAATGCAGAACATCTCCTAAAGGCCATGTAACCCTTATCCCTCAACTTTTAGGATGCAACTGTCACTTAAATGATCAAAACAGATGCATACTCAGCCCTTCAGCAGTACTTTAGATAAGCACTTCCAAAGGTGGGTCCAATTACTTTTCTTTTATACCGATACCAGGGCTTGAACTCATGGCCTCACATTCTCACTTGGGTTATTGTCTCAAGGCTGGCACTTTGAGTCATAGGTCCACTTCCAACTTTTTTTTTTTGTCTGTTGTGGGGCTTGAACTCTGGGCCTGGGCACTTTCCCTCAGCTCTTCAGCTCAAGGCGAGCGCTCTACCACTTGAGCTACAGCGCCACTTCGGGTTTTCTGGTGGTTTATTGGAGATAGGAGTCTCATGGTCTCTCCTGCCCGGGCTGGCTTTGAACTGTGATCCTCAGATCTCAGCCTCCTGAGTAGCTAGGATTACAGGTGTGAGCCACCAGCGCCCGCCCACTTCCAACTTTTGACTTACAGACTTTTCTGCCCACCCTGGCTTTGAACCTCAATTTTTGTATCTTAACCTCCTGAGGAGCTAGGATTATAGTCATGAGTCACCAGCATACATTTTCAGCATACATTTTTGGCTAGAGAATATTCTGAAAAGCTGTATCCAGGTCCTCAATGTTGTTTAAGCAAGGACTCCCTATTTTATGATTTGGGAACTAGTATTGATTTTATAATAAACAATGTAGTACATTTTTCAGGGGCCTTAGGAATATAAAAGCAACATTTCACAAGAGGAAAGCACTTGAAGATGTTGAGTACATTTATGGTATGCAACACTGAAACACTATCAGATACAGAAGGTCACAGAGGCAATATATACAATATTGGATAACTGACACACAAAAAAACTGATGCATGCTAATTCAAATTCTGTCATCATTTGCATTTAAAACAGACACTCCACATCTCTTTACAAAGCAGTTTTCTCATTCATTTCGACTTGCCTTGTCTCCAAAAATAACAGAGAGAAACTACTTCTTGATATCATGCACAAGCGTGTCTTTGCCTACCATGGCCTACACAGGTGAGAGATTTTTTTGGCCTTCAGCCAACTGCATCTATAGAACACCTGAGTCAGCACAACGGACAGCACCACCTGCTGTGTTTTTTATCTTGTGTGTGTGTCTGTGTTTGTGTGTACGCAGGTACTGGGGCTCGAACTCAGGACCTCGTATTCTTCCTTAGCTTTATTGCTCAAGGCTCATGCTATACTATTTGAGCCACATCTACACTTCTGGCTTTTTGGTCATTAACTGGAGATCAAAGGCTTTCCTGATAAGTTGGATTCAGTCTCGATTATAGACATGAGCCACCAGCAACGTTGAGATGGTTTTGATTTTTATAATGATGACAAGTTTGAGCCAGGTCTTCAAATTTAATTCCATTAACTAGAGCAGGAAAATCATCAATACAATTATTTTGAAGAATACTTAAAGCTTAAATTTGTCATTTAGATTTATATTTTTGATGATTTGTTTCGAAAGCTGCTATGAAAACCACTATGTACAAGAGAAGAAAGTGTTTATGTATATATATTTATATATTAAATATTTTATAAGTTATAAAATAAATAACTCTAAAAATAAATGTCAAACTGTAAGTTCATCTTTACCTTCCTTATATTTTAAATATAAATACATCTTTTCAAAATTATGAGTTACATATTTTTCCCATCATTTTGGGAATATTCTCCATGAAATCTCCAAAATTACCAATGCAGACATTCTGCATTTCAGTCACTTAGGTTGTAATCATGGAATTCTCAGATCTGACAAGAGAAATAGAATTCTTTCCATCTACTTAAGAGTCTATGCACTGTATGCACTGTAAAGATTCCTCACTGGTTAAATATATTTTTCCAAAAATAATCTCATGATGTCTTGACATTAAGATAATAAAGTAGAAGGTCTCTCTCAGTTAACATCAATATTTTCTATATAGAATATTCTATTTTTTCTCCACCAAAATAAGAATATATTTTAAGGTAGGAACATATATGATTTGAAATGCACTTTTGTAATTTTAGAGTATAACTTCTCCTCTAGTAATACTTAGAATAAAATTAACATGATTTTAAACATTTTCACAAAGAACTAGGAGTATCAAGTTCCTTCATTTTCCTGTAGGGATAAAGACATCCACATACAGTTCTAGAAGGTTCCCTTCTGATATGTAAGTTAACGAAACAAAACAACAAAAAAACAAACCTTGCATCAAAGGGAATTTCATTACTGCTCAAAAGTCCTTCAGTAATAGCCTTTGGAGGCTATTAGATAAAGCTCACTGAACAATTGCCCTTTCCCATGCATATTTTGGAAGGTTCTACAAAGTTCTTAGCTCCTCGATGAAGCTGTCCCCATGAACTCCCACTCTCCACTGGCTGATCCTAGAGGATTTTTTTTTTCTGTTTGAAATATCTTATCCCAACTGGAAGAGGTGCTCTGCCTTTATAGCATTTCGAGTTTGCATGAGCATTTGTGAATTTGTTTAAATGAAGAATTGAAATTAGAGCACTAGTCAGAAAAAATGCACAGGAACACATCAAGGGAAGTTGGGAGGAAAACCAAACAACCATCTGTAAGATGTGTATTTGCTGATCTCCTTCCTCTTCAGACCTTGCTGCCCATTCTTCACCTCTGTCCTTTCTCAGGGAATGCAAGTCCTTCAGCAGGGTCAGCAGTGAATGTCCTTATCCTGCCCTGATGCTGGAAGTGAGAGCCAGGTGGCAGGGTACCAGTGTAGCGTGGGGTATGGAGTGGGCCTGCAGCCTTTGGCTTCTCCAATCGTCGGTGCTGGCCTGGACAGCAAGGGAGAGCAGGTGCCAGGGGGTTATGTGTGGTCCTTTCCTCTAACCTTTTGCAATCGTTTCTCTAGGCGATGCAATTTGTGGAGATTTTCCTTCAGCAGTTTGCTGTCTGGAACCAGCTGTAAGGCTCTCTCGTAATAAGCTCTTGCAGACACATAGTTTCCCTGAAGGAAAAGAAGAACAATTTGACTCTGAGTCTCAGAATCCCCGAGAGGATGGGGAGATGGGGACCTGGCCCCCTGCCTGTAATTTCACCCCAGCTTGGTGCTTAGGGAGAATTGATTTGTTTGAAATAACAGATCATCTGGAGAATGTGAAAGGCCAAGTCATACCATTAGGGATATAGCAAAGAAACAGAACTCAGTTCTAGGAATGCAGAGATGAGGCCAAAAGTTCACGGCTCCAAGAGCTGAGCACTGCCCTTTGAATACTAATGGGAGACAGGACCGAAAAGGAGAAGGGGAGGGAACTAACTTCAAAATCAATGATTATGATCTTCTTAGTGGTAGGAATTAGTCTAATCTTCAAATTAAAAGCAATCTTAAAGAGTTGACCTGGCAATGGCTTTTGATTTGCCCACTCCCCAAGGTAAATGTGCCAGCAGGGTCGGATGCTGCTAGCTCACACCTGGAGTTCCAGGAAGCTGAGATCTGAGGATCAAAGTTCCTAGTCAGGCTGGGCAAATAAATCTGATAAAGAGTCCTTTATCTCCAATTAAACAGCAAAGATCCAGAAGTAGAGGTGTGGCTCAAATGTAGAGCATCAGCCTTGAGGGAAAATGGCAAATGAGAAGGCAGGGGCCTGAATTCAATTCAGTAACAGAACACAAAAATAAAAGAATCCCAGATCCTTCAGCAGGCACCAGTGGCTCCTGCCTACAATCTTTGCTACTTGGGCTAAGATGTAAGGATCTCTCTCGGTCCAGAGCCAGCTCAGGAAGAACAGTCTGTGAGGCTCTTATCTCCAACTGACCAGCAAAGTGTGAAAAATGGAACTGTTGCTCAAGTGGTAGAGCACCAGCTTTGGACAAACAAAGCTGAGAGAACACAAGTCCTGAGATCAAGCACTAGTATGAGCACAAAAAAGGAAAAGAAGAAAGCAGAAAAGAAGACGGCCAGGGCTCCAGGCCATGTGGGAGCTGGCACTGCTCCTACCTGCATGTGCTGGATACCCCCCATGTTCATCCAGGCCTGCGCTTGATCTGGATTCAATTCCACGGCTGCTTGGTAGCTCTAAAGAAATCAATATTTCCACGTTAGGAAAGGAGAGCCTGCACTTAACCCAGGGAGAGTGCAGAAACACCTACCACCCACATCTTCTGATTGGTGTTTGTATGCCTGTACAGGGGCTCCAACTCAGAGCCTTGTACTCCTGCTTGACTTTTTCACTCAAGGCAGGCACTCTACCACTTCAGTCAGAGCCTCAACTTCTGGTTTTTTGGTGCTTAATTGGAGATAAGAGCCTCATGGACGTTTCTGCCTGGGCTAGTTTAGAACTATGATTCTAAGATTTCAGCCTGCGAAATAGCTAAGACTACAGGTGCGAGCCATGGGCTTTATTTCTGTTTTTGTCCAAAGATGATGACTGCCATTGTGGACTTAGAAGATATGCAAGCCCCCTGCTGGGAATCAAGTGATTTCTGTAATAACAATGCATTTCCTACAGTCCTTGCTCCACCTGTAAGAAAATTGCTCTTTTGGGCATGCTACGGTATAAGTGGAGTTGGGAAGAAAATGTCTTTTTCAAAATCATAAAATCTGAAGGCAAAAGTAGAGAGCATTATAAAGCCGGTGCTTAGCATGCATGAGGCCATGGGTTCAATCCTCAGCACTGAAAAAAATATAAATACAATTTAAAAAGAAAACCCAAATCATTGAATGTTTGCTTGTTTAGTTTAACCCTAGGGCTAATGCCCATTATGTGTCTTACTAGGGGACAGTTGTTTTTCATAAGTCTTGTTTTGCTTCATTTTCTTTGGCCAGCTCCAGTTTAAGCTCATGGTCTCTCACATGCCTATCTTCCTGGCTCAACTGATGCTCTACTACTTCAGCTATGCCTCTAGTGCCTGAGCTCAGGACTTGTGTTCTCTCAACTTTTTTGCTCAAAGCTGGTGCTCTGCCAATGCCAACAGTTCCATTTTTCACATTTTGCTGGTCAGTTGGAGATAAGAGCCTCACAGACTGTTCTGGTGCTGGCTTTTTGCTGATTGGTTATGGTGGGGGGAGAGTCTTCAGACATTTGTGTCTAGGCTTACCCTCCTGATTTCAGCCTCCTGAGTAGCTAGGATTACAGGTATGAGCCACTGATTCTGAAAATAATACTTCAATAACTTCTCACTGGCTTATTTCCCCACACAATGATCTGACATTTTATTTTCTAGCATAATATATTTAGTGTAATTTTATAACATCAGCAATTTTAACTTGTGGTTTTATCAGATACCAGGATAAATGGTGGCATTTCTATGTCTGTATTGATTTTATCCCAAACCTGTAGTTAGTAAATGTGAAACTGGGTCCTGACCGCCTATATCTCTAATTGCAGCTGATCAAGACACTGAGGTATGAAGGTCACAGTTCAAAACCAGCTCTGGTAAACAAATCTAATAGATTCTTTATCTCCAATTAACCATGAAGAAGCTAGAAGTGGACCTGTGGCTAAAGTGTTAGAGCACTACCCTTGATCAAAAGAGCCAAGCAAGAACACAGGCCCTGAGTTCAAGACCCAGCACCTGTGTGCGTGCACACACAAAGATTATAAAGTCTTCATTTGAATCAACAAATGTACTGGCATCATTTTAAGAGTCTTACCTCATATGCTTTGTCAAGAAAGTTCTGCTCTCTCAGCTGGTTTCCTTTGGTGAAGAACAGTTCAGACAGCACTTTGGGGTCCTTTGGTTTCAGCTGCAGAGCCTGGTTGATTGCACTGAGTGCCTGCAGAGGGCACATATGGAGACCTGACCAACAGTTTCATCAAGAAAGCCTAGCATAGATGAGGAGATTCAATCTGCTCCTTCACATATATTAGCTGGGTGAACCACATTCTTCATGCCCTCTGATTTCCTCATACAGCATTAATGACCCCGACGAAGCCATTTCTTCTCCTGTTCATAGGCCAGTCCCTATCGCTCTCTCTCAATGCACCAACATCTTGTTTTTCTTCTAAGCCCCAAAGCTTTTCCAAAGATTCTTTCTCAAGGCTGGTACTCAACCACTTGAGCCATGCCCCCAGTCCTGCATTTTGCTAGTTAATTGGAAATAAGAGTCAGTGAGCTCTTCTCAGGCTGGCTTTGAGCCATGTTCCTCCAGAGTTGCTAGTATTGCAGGCATGAGCCACTGGCACTAGTTTGAAAACCACTATGTGATTTTCGAAGTAGAGAAAATCCTGGCGATGGTAACATGGATCTACCTTACGGGATCATGACAGGTCTCCATACAGAATCAGTCAGAAGATAAAAGCCCATGAACACCAGCCTTTCGGGAATTAGCCTAACACAAAGACGATGGCAAGAGGGCTCTGGAGTTAAGGGGCATCTGTGCAAAGTTGCTAAGATTCAACATGCCACCTAATGAAGTCGCCTGTGACTCAGCTGGAGACCCACGCATGCCCACAGCGCGGCTCGCAATCTGGGGTCCCACACGTGCACATCTCCTCCTCAGGCCCAGCTTGGTCTCTACCTTGTCATGGTGTTCCTGCTTGCTGTAAATGGCAGACAGGAGGCGATAGCATTCCAGGCACCCAGCCTCCTCTGCCACCATGTGACTCATAATCTGTTCTGCTTCTTCCATCTGCTCCATCACTGCCAGAACCTGTGCCTGCAAAACCACGGGGCTTTCATGTCTCAGGGCGCCTTCCTTTGCTTGCTTGGTTGCTGAATGATTTCTAGGACTGGGACTTGAACTTAGGGCCTCACACTTACTCCCCTTCCTTTCTAGGCTGGAGCTCTACCACTTGAGCCACACCTGCAGTCAAGCCAAAAGAGCTGCTTATTTTGGAAGAGAGTCTCAAAGTCTCTTCTGGCTAGCACTGGAACCTCAATCCTCTAGATCTCAGTCTCCTGAGTAGGTCCAATTACAGGCATAAGCTTACATCTTTCTTTGTATATTAAGGCCAGTGACTGGCAGGAATGCCAACATTAATCCAGTTAAATGGCTTTTGCCTCTTCAGAAAAAAAAATGACTAAGCTGGGCACCAGAGGTTCACACCTGTACTACTAGCTACTCTGGAGGCTGAGATCTGAGGATCACAGTTTGAAGCCAAAGTCCACGAGACTCTTATCTCCAATAAACTACATAGAAAAAGCCAGAAGTGGCACTGTGGCAGCGGTAGAGGGTGTGCCTTTAGCACAGGGTCAGAGCCCAAGCCCAGAGTTCAAGCCCCAGGACAGTCAAAAAAAAGAAAAAAAGGAATATAGACAGACTAGTGCAAAACCTAATTTCCTATCATTTTAACAGAATATTGTAATAAGAAGGCTAGTGTGATTTGCTGCAGATCTAAAAAAGAAGTGAAATTTCAAATGTTGAAGTAAAATTATTATTGATACCAAAGTTGATGTGTGTGTGTGTATGTGTGTGTGTGTGTGTGTGTGTGTGTGTGTGTGTATACTGGTGCTCATACTCAGGGACTCACACTCCTGGGTGACTTTTCTGCTCAAGAATGGTGCTCTACTGCTTGAGACACAACTCTACTTCCAACTTTTTGCTGATTAATTGAAGGAAAGAATCTCTTGGAATTTTCTGCCTTGGTTAGTTTTGAACCAACTCCAGAATATTTAGCATTACAGGCATGTTATCAGCGCTCAGCTGATGTTGGTTTTTCTGACTTTGACAACACCCCTGTAGCATGCTACACAATTTCCTCCTTCCTCAGAGCTACATGCTGAATATTTAGACATCAGGGGAAATGATGCCTATATGTAATTCTCACATGGGCCAGAAAAAATTACCCCATGTGCTAAGAGGCATTACTTATAGACAGTTACAAATAAACACGTGAACATGTATACATATACATACTTGCTTAGATGTGGTGACAAACAAAATAACAATAATTAGGGCCAAAGATTTAGCTCACTGATAGAGCAGTTGCCTAACTTGTGAAGGCCCTGGGTTTAATCTCTAGCACTGCAAGAAAAACAAAAGCCAACTCAAGAGGTTTGAGGATTGTGGTTTGAAAACAGTCTAGGCAGAAATGATTTTGAGGCTCCATCTCCAGTTGACCAGCAAAAGTCAGGTTAGAGGTATGGCTCAACTGGTAGAACACTAGCCTTGAGCAAAAAGTCAAATGAGTGTAAGGACCAGAGTTCAATTCCCAGCACTGGCAACAAAGAAGGGAAGAAAAGAAGTAAAGAAAGAAGGGGGGAAGGGGGGAAGGAGGGAAGGAGGGAGGGACGGAAGGAAGGAAGGAAGGAAGGAAGGAAGGAAGGAAGGAAGGAAGGAAGGAAGGAAGGAAGGAAGGAAAGCAGGCAGGTAGGCAGGCAGGCAGAGGGAAAGCAAGGAAGGAAGGAGAATATGGAAGAAAGGAAAGTGGGAGGGAGACAAAAAAAAGACAGAGATACTGACTTGAAACTAATCTAAGTGCTGTGGGTGTGTGGTGTCTGGGGTGGCCGCACCTGGTTAGGAATATGGACAGCATGGACATCACTAGCGCCATCCCTGCAGCTCTGCACCTGGTGGTACAGCGCCTGTGTGCATGTGGTACTTTCCCCAGCACCCCCTCCTTGCCTGCCCCTCACCAGTGCCAGGCGGAGCTCCTTCTGCGAAGGCTGTAGTGCTGCGGCCTCCCTGTAAATGTGCAGCGCCTCCTTGAGCCGGCCCGTGTTGTAGTAGAGTGCTCCCAGGGGGGACAGGACCTCGGCAGTGCGTGCTACCTGCAGGGCTCTGAGTTGGGGAAAATGGAAAGTGTTACTGTTTCCTATGAGACACATTTCCAGAAGCAGATTGAGGAAGGACTTCCAGCCTTTGAGACGCTGCTTCAACTCTTTTTTGGGGTGCTGGTACTGGGAATTGAACTCAGGCCTTGTGCTCTTGCTTGGCTTTTTTATTCAAGGTTGCCACTCTACTAGTTGATCTACACCTCCACTTCCAGCTTTTAGCAGATAAGAGTCTCCAAGACTTTCCTACTTGGGCTGGCACTGAACTTCGATTCTCAGAGCTTAGCCTTCTGAGCAGCTAGGATGACAGCGTGAACACAAGCAGCTGGCTTCCACAGTCTTTTTGTGTCAAGATCAAGGTTTTATAAGAAGTGGGTCGTGAGTGACCCGGAACCTAACACCCTCGGCTGCCCACACAGCTGGTCCAGGATTTTCCTTAATGGTGATGAACTTGCTGGGGGTCTAAAGCCAACCTAATCTTCATCTGCCTCCCACTTCCGAAATGTAATCCAGAACACACTGCATTAACTACATTGGCATAGAATTCCTGGTCTAACCAGCAGGAAAATGGAAGTCACTCCTTAGGACATAATCGATCCTTTTGAAAGAAGAATCTGTATAGTCAAAACTGGCAAAAAATGCCCCTAATCTGACATTCTCTCTGTCCCAATTAACTAAAATGGTAGTATGTGATTGCAAAAGTAGCTACAAAAGTTAGAAAGTGAGGAACAGGAAAGATTCTGGAAAAGTGAAAAAGTAAAGAAAAGCAACTGTACCGTTTATAGCACTCTTCAGCCAGGCTGTTTTCTCCCAGGGACCTGTAGAGTCTGCCCAGGTTGACCATGGCCACGTGATGACCTGGGCTAAGTCTGATGGCCTCTCGGTAGTGGGCGGCTGCCTTCTCTGGAGACCCTGCCCCCAGGGGAAGAAAACAGGAAAGGCCTTGGTCACTGCCTGGTTCTCCTTCAGAAAGACAGAATCATAGTGGCCTCACTTAGTTTCAGGGGTCGGGAACCATTTTTTACTGCCAAGGAGATTTCAATTGTGTGTGTGTGTGTGTGTGTGTGTGTGTGTGTTGAATTTGAACTCAGGGCCTTGTGCTATCTCTTAGCTATTTTGCTTAAGGTTGGTGCTCTACCACTTAAGGCACACCATCACATTGGGCTTTTTGCTGGTTGTATGGGGATAAGAATCTATTGGATTTATCTGCCCAGGCTGGCTTCAAACCTTGATTCTCAGATCTCAGCCTCCTGTGTAGCTAGGATTACAGGTGTGACTCAACAGTGCTTGGTTTAAGAGTATTTCTTTAAAAGCACAATAACATGAAATGTACTCATTACCTCACTCATGTAACTGTAACCCTCTGTATAGTATCTTTATAAAAAAAAAAGACCAGGATTAAACGAGATATTATTCTATGCAAAAAAAAAAAGCACAATAACAACAAAATCAGTACTTTATAGATACAGATTCTAAAGTGCAAAGAACTAAATCCTAGGGCAGTCAAACGTAAAGCTCAGAATGAGAGCCAAGCTTCTGGTCTGAGAAAGGGCCCCAAAGAAGCTTGGGAATGAAACAGTAGCCAAGCAAACTGAGCTTGAAAACAGTCTCAAGTTCTACGTGGAATGGAGCTCTTGCGGTCTGCACAGCAGCCTTCCTGATTATGTCTTTTTTGAACATGAGATGCCAAAGCCATTATGTCACAGAGGCCATCCAACTGTCATCCCCTCAAGGGGTAAAGGTGGGACTGTGATGATGCATTAAAAAACAGGTTTAAATCAGGCCAGTAAGAGCTTACTTTGTTGTAAAGTAGCGCATCCACCAGCAGGGGGCAGTGCACAACAATTTATATCCAAAAAAAGTTTTTCTCCATGTAACATAATGTAAACTTATACTCCATAAAACACAAGAGCTTATTCCCTAGAAAAGAAAGATATTTTCAACCATTTCCTATTGAAAAATAATTGAAATGGTGTTTTATTGCAGGGAAGCGGGTCTACTAGTCAATAAGAACCTAACAGTGTTCTTGCATTACATGCAAGTGCACTGAATGACTCCTAAGTATTCATTGTATGCTGGTAGGAAAGCACTTTGCTCGGGAAGCCATACCTGTGACCATTTGAGTTTCATTGTTTTCATATTGGGTCTTATTTTCTGTGTGGACAGCCTAGGACTGGGAATATTTCTACCTTTTCCTCCAGAGTATCTGAAATGTCATCAGCAAGCTCTCCAGTCCAGTTTGCTCACTGAGATGGGGTCTCACCAACATTTTCTCCAGTCTGGACTGAAACTGGGGCTCATAAATCAAGGCTATTTCTTGCCATCTGGGGAATTTTCTTTAGAGACATAAGCATGAGGAATGGCAGGTTTTAGTGCAGGTTTAGAGAAATGAGAGCCCCAAAGCTGCTGGGTGAGTATCTCAGTGGCAACATTTTGCAGGGCTGGCAGAGCTGATTCCTGAGGCATCATCTAGGTTGTGGCCATCTGTTCAATAGAGAACATTCAGTATAGAATTGTCCCAGAACATGTTCATTTGAATGTCACTTACCAAAATCGACCAAGAAAACTCCATAGTTGTTGTGTAAATCTGAGCTGTCTGGACAGTGCTTAATCCCAGCCTGGTAGATTTCTTCAGCTTCTTTAAATCTTGCCTTTCCAAAGGCAAACAAAGAGAAAGAAATGAGAAAATTTTACAAAAATCAATACACAGGAACAAAAACCTGCATATTGGAAGCAGGACAGGAAGAAGTCATCTACTAAGCATCATTCTAGCATGGACATTGAGCTGCACTGTTATGAGCCTCCCTGCATTCCAGCCAATATGAATTACACTTAAGTGTGGTTTCAGTGGGTCCACATGTGGTTCCAAGGAGACCACATGAGCAAGATCTGTGCATGCTCAGAACTTAGAGGTCAGGGCAGCAGACAGAGGTCAGGACTGTACCGTTAGGACTGTACTGTGCGTGCTCAGGGCACACAGTTGCAGTACTGCACATACTCAGGCTACACAGCGGTCAGAGCTGTACTTTGGGTGCTTGATTCACTTTCCTACAGATCTTCTGCTACAGACCTGACATATTACAACACATCTCAAATTTTCATTCCATCATGTTAATTAGGCTCATTCACTGTTAACTTGCTTTTGGGAGGGAGGAGGAATTCACAAAATGAAATAGCAGATCACAATTATTTAATCACAATAGATAATAACTAGGCATTGGCTGAGAGCTTCTCGGCAGTATCTGAACTGGGCCTTGGGCACAGAATTTAAAAATTGTTTTTGGAATCTCTTTTGATTTTTTTAAACCATTCTTTAAGATTTTATTTATTTGCTTATTTAAATTTCTCATTAAACTTTGATCACACTTGGTCAAAACTAGATACAGCTGGACATTAGTGGCTCACACCTAGTTAATTACAAAACTGAGATCTGAGAATGATGGAGCTGTGGTTCAAATGGTAGAGAGCTAGCCTTGAGCTTATAATAAGCTGAGGGGCATCACCCGGGCCCTGAGTTCAATCCTTGCATCAATAAAACAGAAGGGCTGGGAAGGTGGCTCAGTGGTAGAGTGCTTGCCTTGCATGTATGAGGCCCTCGGTTCAATTTCTCAACACCACATAAGCAGAAAAAGCTGGAAGTGGCACTATGGCTCAAGTGGTACAGCACTAGCCTAGAGCTGAAGAGCTGAGGGACAGCACCCAGGTCCAGAGTTCAGGCCCCATGACCGACAAAAAAAAAGAAGAAGAAGAAAAGAAGTGGGGAGAGAAGAGGGGGAGAAAGAAGAAAAGGAGGAGGAAGAAGAGGAGGAGGAGGAGGGGGAGGAAGAAGCGGGGAGGAGGAGGATAAGCATCTTACAGGAGTACCAGGTGTTGGTGGCTCTCAGGAGGATGAAATTCAAAGGATCACAGTTCAAAGGCAGCCTGGACAGAAAAGTTTCATAATGCTTTCTATGTAAAATAACCAGATAAACAAGGCTGGAGGTATGTCTTAAGTGGTAGAGTTCTCCCAGCTGAGAGCAACCAAGATGAGCAAGGGTGAGATGCTGAGTTCAAGTCCAGATACTGGCACCAACCACCCCCCCCCCCGCCAAAAAAAAGAAAGTAAGCCCATAGCATGTAAGGAGTAACACAGTGATGGGCGCAGGAAAGGCGGAGAAGCTGACATGTGCGTGACTGCACTTGCCATGCCATGCTGCCCTTCTCACTGCAAACGCGACTCGTACAGGCTATTACTTCTGACAAGAAAGATTTTCCTCTGATCTTTACTTAATTGATCTCGTGAACTCGGAACCTCAGGCTCTCACTTAGCTTTTTCTCTTAAGGTGGTTGTCCTACCATTTGAGTCACTCCTCCACTTCTGACAGTTGCTGGTTCATTGGAGATCTCTGATCTTCTTTTACCTGAGCTGAGCTGTCCTTAGATCTCAGCTTCCAAAGAAGCTGGGATTACAGTTGTGAGCCACCTCCACCTGGCTCCCACCTGTCATATGTTATGAGAGATGTTCTCAGAGGAGCCCATCCTATAAGCCTGTCAATTTCTTTTTTAAAAATAATATCATTTTAGCCGGGTGCTGGTAGCTCACGCCTGTATTCCTACTTACTCGGGAGGCTGATCACAGTTCAAAGCCAGCCCAGGCAGGAAAGTCCATGAGACTCTTATCTCCAATTAACCACCAGAAAACCGGAAGTGGCACTGTGGGTCAAGTGGTAGAGGGCTAGCTTTGAGCTGAAGAGTGCAGGGATAGTGCCCAGGCCCAGAGTTCAAGACCACTAACAGAAAAAAAAATATATATATATAATTGTATTGTTGGTGTTATACAGAGGGGTTACCATTTCATAAGTCAGGGAATGAGTATATTTCTTTTTGGACAATGTCAATCCCTCCTTCACTTTCCCCTGCCTGTCATTTTCTAACAGGAATTAAGACTAAGGATATACAACATTTTTAGTAATTGGCTCCATGTTAAGTTCAGAGACTTTCTTTCATCTATTAGCAATATCTCAGAAAAAATGACAGTAAGTAGCAATAAAGACAGTGAATATCATGTATTAATCTTGATAGACTTTGTTCCAAATATATTAACAAGTAAGACATCATCTATGTCTAAGGGCCTCCTGCTCTACACAGATTACTTTAGAGAAGAAAATGAGGCTTCTAAAGTCTGTCAAGAAGAAAACAGACATAGAATTCTCACCCAAGAAAAATGACCACATCAAGAATACAGCCAGGCCCTGGTAGCTCACACCTGTAATCCTAGCTACTCAGGAGGCTGAGATCTGAGGATTGCAGTTCAAAGCCAGCCTGGACAGGAAAGTCTGTGAGACTCTTATCTCCAATAAACCATTCAGAAAACTGGAAATGGCTCAGCTGAAGAGCTGAGGGACAAGCGCCCCGGCCCAGAGGTCAAGACCCACTACCAAAAAAAAAAGAAAAAAGTTGTAATCCTAGCTACTCAGGAGGCTGAGATCTGTGGATGGTGGTTTGAAGCCAGATAGAGCAATTAAGTCCATTATACTCTTATCTCCATTTAAGCACCCAAAAAAGCTGAAAGTGGACCTTTGGCTCAAGTGGTAGAGTGCTATCCTTGAGCAACAAATCTTGCTGACAGTTACTTGATCCACACATACATTGTGGAACATCTTGGTTATGGAAAATAGTGAAATATTTAGTCTTCAAGTGTCTCAATTGTATCCTGACTTAGAATCTTGGGATAAATACTTTTGGAGTGGCACTCTGGATCATAAGATTGTTAGTTTGTATTCCTACCAACATTACAATAGGGTTTCTTTTTTTTTTTTTTTATATACCCCCATCAGATTTGTTGTTTTTGTGAGTATGTGTACCAGTCCTGGGGCTTAAACTCAGGGCCTGGGAGCTGTCGGTGAGATTTATTTTGGTGAGTATATATGCCATCCTGGGGCTTGAACTCAGATCCTGGGAGCTGTCAGCAAGATTTGTTGCTCAAGAATAGCACCCTACCACTTGAGCCAAAGGTCCACTTTCAGCCTTTTTGGGTGATTAAATGAAGAGTATAATGGACTTAATTGCTCTATCTGGCTTCAAACCACCATCCACAGATCTCAAAGATTATACAATAAAAATAAAGAAAATATAAAAATAAAAACAAAAGGAAAATTAGTGTCTAATATGAGCTTAATGGTCATTAGTGGTGTGGCATGAATGCAGGTTTTTAACAGTGTAACATTTAAAATTAGACCATGTAAAATCAAATTTGAAAAAAATTACCTGCTCTGCCAATAGTGAAGCTAGGCTTGAATAGGCATCTGCAAACTCTGGACCATATTTAATGGAATCCCTCAGTAGAGCAATAGCTTCTTCTTTTTGCTCCTGGGACCTAAAGATAACAAAGAAGGAAAAGAATATCTTTTATGAACACTTTGTAGAAATCCTCTGATTAGATTTAAAATTCTCGTTTCTTCTATCAAACATTAGGCAATTCATTCTGGATTTGGTTACATGTGAATTACACTATGGCATGTGAACACACTAATAATAGATTCTTCCTGTGAGTGAATTCTCATTAGAAAGGAATGTAAAGTCACAGAAGAAGCTACAAATGGCTCACTGATTTCTCTACCTCCTATGTTCTGTTCTGCGCTTCTTCAAAGCTTCACTGAATAATCTGTAAGTCTGTTAACCAGTCTGTCCTGGTCCTCTGGCAGGTCACGTGGTAACATTACTTGGGTGGCATGGAGTCAGTGGCAATGTTGACAATGATGTGGAGATGCTTTGAACTCCTCTTTCAAGTGCATCATAGTAGACACAGTTCTGAATGGAGGCCAAGCTACCAACCCAGGATAAGCCAGGCAAAAGGCCAATGATGATCTTTTGGTTCTATCAAAAGATAACATTCATGAAAGTAGAAAATACTATGACCACCAGCTGTGAGAGAATCATGAGATATTTCATTTTCAGATTTTTCTTAAAAACTTGGGCTGGTCTTGATATTGAAAACCTGTAATACCTTTGTCTAGATTTCCTTGATGGTCTCAAAGATATAAGGGGAGAAGTAAAATGGCCAACATCTATCAAAGAAAAATATAAGCAGAGCTCCCACTAGACAACGGGGGGGTCTCAAGGAAGGGCATCACCTGGGGTGCAGTGTGCAGGGTTAATCAGGTATCCCTCTAGGAGAGAGGTATGATCATTGGACAGCCTGAGAGCGGTATCAGTCCCCAGATTCAAGCAGAGGCTCAACACAGCCTGCAGCTCTCTATGCATTGTTTATAGTCCCTCTAATTGGTGCCTGTTTCAACATAGACCTCTGTGGTCCAATCAGTCTATCAGTCATGTCTTCTAGGGGCAATGGGTCTTGAAGATATGCACAAAAGGCCTGCATGTGTGACTGTACACTGCCATGGTGATGAGATGTCTAGGGGCCTGCACACAGGATTGCTCAAAGCCATGGTGATTCCAGGGGTCTGCACAGGGGACTGCTCAGGGCCATGGTGAGGGAGGCAGAATCTGTGGAAGGAGGCCTCTGCCCTGATGGCCCAGCCAGACTCTCTTTCTGCCTTCAGTTTTGTCTTCTGCATTTAGGTCTTTTCCCAGTGATTTCCCTTTTTCTTAGGGAGGATCAAGCTCTGAATGTCTACATTTTCTTGGGTGACAGTTTTCTTTCCTTAAGTACTACGGAAAGACACTGGGTCATTATCCTGAATTCAATGTCAGAAGCCAGAAATATACACTGGGAAGTGATCATTTTGCTGTGACTATAGTTCTACAAGCACTGATCTAATGTTTAGTACTAGACATTATAATGAAAGCTTACGCTTTCCCTATTCATTGATTCGGTAATCATCATGTATCCTGTTGCTATGCTCAGTTTTCTAATGCAGCATTCAGATTCAGCATAGTCACATGACTATACTGCACTCACATAATTCATCCTCTGAACAGTCCTCCACTGAATCACGGCTGCTCATTCTAACTTCTTGAAGTCTTCCCTACATGAGCTACACCAGAACAGTTAGGAGAATTTCTCTACAAGAAAAAATTGACTTCTGTGCCAGGCACTGGTGGCTCACAACTATAATCCTACTCAAGAGGCTGAGGTCTGAGGATTGAGGCTGGAGGCCAGCCAGGGAAGACAAACCTGATAGTCTCCAATTAACTAGCAAAAAGCTGGAAGTGGAGGTATAACTCCAGTAGTAGAGCTCCAGCCTTTAGCAAAAAAGCCAAGCAAGACCTTGAGGTCCTGAGTTCAACTCCAGGTACTGAGAAAAAAAAGAGAAACCTCTGTCTATACAATTTTACTTTTGTGCAAAGGCAGAGTTGATCTTTTGCTAGGTATGATAAGGTATGACAATGCTAGGAGAATTAGGGCCATTAGAAAAGGGAAATGTCCAATGACTATTGCTATTGCATTATAATTTAATTGAATCATTCTGTCCTTGCTCTGCCTTTTTAAGTCATTCCAAGTCATTCCCTAGTATTGGGGTTTAAAGGAACTCAAGTACAAATGAGCTCAGGGAAGATGAGGCGCTCGAGGGGGCAGGGATGACTTCCAAGGCACAGGAGATGCCTGCAAACTTGTGTATTTGGCAAAGCAGTCAGGCCTGTGTGATCATCCTCTGCTAAAAATATTTATGCATGGAAAGAAAATGATGACATTCCATTCCTTCAAGGGAATGTAAACAAGAGCAGAGGTTCATAAAGCCTGTACTCTGCACCGGGCTTTCTGTGTGGCTGTCATCTGTCTCCAACTGTGTGGAGTGCAGCCAGTACAGTAAGGAAACACTGGGGAAGGGATTCTTCCCTTGCTAACTGTGTAAAGCATTTAAACATTACTCAAGCTAAAATAATTAATAATCATGAGTATAATATCATATCAATCAAAAAAAATAGAAAGTTGGAACCTTAGATGATTATTTGTGTGATCACACCCAGCCATGCCCAGATATAGTATGATTTATTTCTTTTTTGTTTTTTGGTCCCAGGCCTGGGGCTTAAACTCAGGGCTTGGGTGCTGCCCCTGAGCGTTTTTCACCCCCACTACCCCCCTCAAAACTAGCAACATTTGAGCCATACCTCCACTTCCAGATTTTTCTTGGTGGTTAATTGGAGATAAGTGTCTCACAGACTTTCCTGCCTGGGATGGTTCTCAGACTCTTGAGTAGCTGGGATTACAGACATTTAAGCCACCAGCATAATTTTTAAAGATCTGTTCATATTGCATTTTAGTAACAAACACTACCAACCATTTTAACCATAAACTCACAGAACTGTTTCTTCATACCCTGATTGAGACATTTTGCTATGGTCTCTTGACCATCTTGACTTCAGCTCTCTTCATGAATAAAAATTTTATGTTAGTCTTAATTTTTCCTTTTTATTTTCTCTTTATTCTTTTTCCTTTTTGACTCCTTGGGTAAAGCCAACAACCATTAACATAAATGAAGAGGCTGCTCTTTGCCAGGCTTTCACTCGACAAATGTGCTGCATGGAGTGACAGACCAGCCTTGGAGACACAGGAAATGGAACAAGAGAGGCCAAATATATTTGGATCACATGCAGTGAGGTAGGCCTTGGGTCTGGGTCTAAAGCAGTCTGTGCTATGATTCCAAGAATTCAAATGAGCTGCAGCAAGGGGATCCTCTGACAGAAGCATGTCTTTCTTAGGTCTGCTGGACAGTGCAATGAATCCTATTTCCTTCAAAGTCAAGGTTATAGTAGCCGCTTGAAATGTGGATAGTGTGAGATGGACTCAGAGGGTGAAACTATATAATAAAATTGAAAGATTTATTATGAAAAAGGAGAATACAACAATACAAGATTCTCACACTTGTAACGCTACCTACTCAAGAGGCTGAGCTCTGAGGCTCTGGATTCAAAGACAGTCTAAGCAGGAAAGTTGACAAGACTCCTATGTCCAGTTAACTAGCATGAAGCTAAAAGTAGAGATGTGGCTCCAGTGGTAGACTGCCTGCCTTACGTGACAAAACCGAGTTAGAGCACAAGGGCATGAGTTCCAGCACCAGCACACACACTCTCTGTCTCTGTCTCTCTGTCTCTCTCTCTGTCTCTCTCTCACACACACACACACACACTCACACGAGATGAATATTACATTCACCCAATATTTGAAAGCACTTTTATTCAGTGGCCTGTAGACACAGCAGTAGTTATAGCATGAAATGTTGTATCTAAAGTAAAGCTTTGAAGGCTCGATGCATGGTCATGGCTGGGCAACCTGGCACTTACTTGAGCAGGTTCCCCAGGTTGAAGAGAGCCCGGTTGTGCTGAGGATGGAGCTGCAGTGCCCTTTGGTAGTACATCTTGGCCTCCGCAGTGTCTTTGGTCAGTGTTCCCAGGTTGTTCAGAGCACTGGCGTGACGAGGATACAACCTGGGTGATCAACAGCATCAAGCCGTGATTTCCAAGTCAGCTACACAGACTTCTTTTTTTCCCCTCCTTCTGGTTTGCTTCACCAAAATCAAACACTAAATTCTCTCCCCCCCACCCCCTTTTTTTTTTTGTCAGTCCTGGGGCTTGAAATCAGGGCCTGGGCTCTGTCCCTGATCTCTTTTTGCCCAAGGCTAACTAATGCTCTACCACTTGAGCTACAGTGCCACTTCCAATTTTCTGGTGGTTAATTGGAGATAAGAGTCTCATGGACTTTCCTGCCTGGGCTGGCTTTGAACTTCAATTAGCAGATCTTAGCCTCCTGAGTAGCTAGGAGTACAGGTGTGAGCCATGTGGGGCCAGCTTCAGAAGCAAGGAGGGGGGTCATTTTTAAGACATCCATGACTGAGAGAGGACAGTGGTGTCTCCCTATAAGAAAAAATAATCTCCCAAATAGCTTTACATCCTGACCCCCATTTCCTTTCTACTGCAATTTGTTTCTACCTTGATGTAGACTTGATAGAGTTCTCTGTATGAATGTCATGAGAACTTAAGACACTTAAAGATCTAAAAATGAGATACATACAATGTTGTGAACACCAGCTTTCCTAATGTTCAAAAGCACATGTTACGTAGAATGCAGTAGATATCACAGAAAACCAAACTTAAGCTGGTGAAGAAAGAAAGGAAGGGAATCAATGTGTCTTCTTTAATTCAGAAGAAGTGAAGAAGCGAAATCACTGTGGCTACATAGTTCAGTTCCTTGAGTATATTAAAAATGGATGCATATAGCAGTTTCCTTGGCATGTTCCATCTCTGTCTCATCAGGATACTGTGTGTGTGTGTGTGTGTGTGTGTGTGCGCGCACGTGTATGCATGGCGTGCATCAGTGCTAGGGCTTGACCCCAGGGCCTGTCGCTCTGACTTGGCTTTTCCCTCCAATAATACATGAGACATTTAACCTTCAGTGAATCCATAAATTTTACAACTACAGCTTTCATATGGAATAATTTCGGCTTCTGGTTTCTCTGCCCACGTTACTCAAGTGGGATCACACAGAAACCAGTCCTTAATGATAGAAGCGAAAGCAACCAAATAGATGCGGGGAAACTTGGCCAGTCAGATTCTCTGTGTGTTTTTAATAATTAAATTTTCTTATTAGCGTGCCTCAGATAATACAAGCAGTTTTCACTGTGGTAATTCCATAGATATGTACAGTATACTCTGACAAGTTAACTCCATCAATTATAGTCCTCTCAAGTTCCCTTCCCTCTTTTTCAGTATTTGGTGGATTTCTTTATATACTATCTATCTATGAGTCTTACTCACTGAAAAAAAAATTGTTTCTGGTTGGAATGGGCTTTGTGGAGTATGCCTATAATCCCAGCTACTTTAGAGGGGAAAGTAGGATGACTGAAATTTGAAACCAGGAAAAGTGAGAAATTCTAAAACAAACTAAAAAGCAAACCTTCTGGCCAGGCGCCAGTGGCTCACGCCTATAATCCTAGCTACTCAGGAGGCTGAGATCTGAGGACTGTGGTTCAAAGCCAACCCAGGCAGGAAAGTAAGTCCGTGAGAAAACCGGACAAAAAAAAGCAAACCTTCTGAGAGTGTTGCTCAAGCAGCAGAGCCTTTGAAAAGTACACAAAACTGTGACCTCCAATTAGCCAGCAAAAAGCCAGAAGTGGAGGCAAGGCTCACGTAGTAGAGCAGTAGCCTTGAGCAAAAAAGCTAAAGAAATAGAGACACCAATGGCTGAACAAATGCCGCAGTGGTACTTACTAGACACTATGTGGAGAAGGAACTATACAATTTGTGGGTAGGGATGGGAGGGATAAACTAGGAAAGTGACATCACCCCTCTGTATATCATCTTTATAATAACAATAAAAAAACTACAAATACAAAAAAGCTGAAGGGAGCAAGAGTTCTGTCTAAAGACAGAAGTTTGCAACTGGACTTTAGTGTTGTATCTTATTTCTGTGATTTATTTGAAATGTTATACAATCTGTTCAAAAGTAAAAATGCTATTAATTTTTATAGCTTTAATACCTTACAAGTCATTTCATTGTTCAAATATTATCGGATCCTGTGCTACTATTTGTAATTTCCTTTCTGAGTCCACATACCCTTATTTGGTACTCAGATTTTTATTCCACACATTAATTTATTTGAGGCTAATTGTGCTAAGGCCACATATTTATTTTCTACTTCCTGAAGAAAAACAACAACAAAATAACCCAAAAGGACAATGTGTCTAGGGAAAAAAATTAACTACTGAAGCCAGATTTCTCCGGTCTAAAATATATACAAATGAAACTTTTGTTTCACAGGTTGACAGGATGTTTTCAATCATTTGTCTTTGACATTTTAAAAATTCTAGATTCTTTCATGTCACAAAATTCAAGTCATCGTGTGATTAAACTACACCCATGTACAACTGTTAACTTTATGGACCTGCTTCATTTATTTATTTCATTTATGAGCCTGGGTGGTCTCCTTTGGCTTTTTCCCTCAACCCTGGTGCCCTACCACTTGAGTCACAGCTCGACTTCTGGCTTTTTGCATGGACTTTCTTTCCCAGGCTGGCTTGGAACTGAGAATCCTCAGTTCTTAACCTCCTGATTAGCTAGGCATATAGGGTGAGCCAGTGTATTTATCCTTAAGGAGTTGTACAAAGGGCTCTCAATTCAACATGGCAGTTGATGACTCCATGAGTTTTGAGCAATGTCATCCTTTCCATTTTCTCCCCCATCTCAACCCCACCAGCCCCTCAAGTTACCTAGTTCAATTCTCACACATGTTCATTGAACATTATGACAGTATTGGCCCACCCATCCTTTCTCCATTTGTCTGTCCCCTCCTGACAGCAACCCCACCCTAGACAAAACATATTTCAGCTTCCTGGTATTCATTTTGTTCAACTGTGAGTAGTAGAATACATTTTGATCAATGTCACCCTTTCAATTCTTCTCCTTCCATCTTGACCCGTTTCTGTCTGAAGTGGTCATAAACACTTAGCAAACTTGTCTTCCTACTTTCCCCTCCCCCCAGCCCCTGTATTTCTGGCACTGTACTCCTTCTGACTCATGAAAGATAGCCCTGGGGACAAAATGCCAAATACAATTTAGAGAAATGTGGCACACACTCCACTAGGGGGTGGGGATGACCTCCATTCACTTGACTTCCAAAAATGGTCCGGAAGGTCTCCCTCCGCCCTGCTGAATGCCAAGGTTCGGAGAGTGAAACCATGGCTTTCGGATGTCCTGAGGAAAGGAGTCATTTCTAAGGGTGGAATTCTCCTGATATGTGAGATTGTAAGAAATACATGGACTGAAATGTTGCTACTCTTAAATAGATACAGTGAATGTAAGCAGTCTTTCTCCGAGACCTGGAGTGAACACAGTAAGCTTTCTTATTTTTTTTTTTTTCTTGTGGCAGGATAGGTAGAAAACTGCCATGGGAAAGTGGTGCTGTGGCTCAAGTGGTAGAGCGCTAGCCTTGAGCTGAAGAGCTGAGGGACAGTGCTCAGACCCAGAGTTCAAGTCCCGTGACCGAACCAAAAAACAAACAAACAAACAGAAAATTGCCATGGTACATGGAAAGATTCCTGAAAAGGAATTAGAAAACAAGAATGACTGTCCAGCTGTGCGATTTTTGGATCTGTGTCTGTGCTTTATTTGTTTTCTTTCTAAAAAGGTTAATTATATTGCCCTCTGTGGACAGATTTGGTTCTGTGTGAGCAGCTGGCTGGTGCTTATAAACCATCTGTCACCACACCCATTCCAGCACACACTACCTTCTCTGGGTTTATATGTGGGCTTTCTGGAGATGGGACAGAGCTAGAATCATCCCATGTCAGGCTGGTAAGTAGCTCTTGCCCTCATGTGAGCTTTTTTTGTATGTGTTCTGGTTCTAGAGTTTGAGCTTGGGGTCCTTAGATTTTTTTTTGCTCAATGCTAGTGCACTTCATTTTGATCCAGACTTCTACTTCTGGCTCTTTGGTGCTTAAAGATAAGAGTTATACCTGTAATCCTAGCTATTTATGAGGCTCTCATCTTCAATTAAGCATTAAAACAAAACAAAGCCAAAAAACAAAACCAGAAGTGGAGCTATATGGTTCAAGTGGTAGAGTGCTAGCCATGAGCAAAAATACTCAGAGATAATACCCAGGACCTGAGTTCAAGGCCCAGAACTGGCACTAAGAGAGAGATCATATAGATTCAACTTTTACAACTAATTTCACCACAGCCTCTGGGATGGCTATGGTCATTACTGCAGTTGGGGATAACTGCTGAAACTGATAACAAATTCCAGGGTCTTTAACCTTGCCTTCCCTGATGGCTCTTCCTGCAGTGGGTAGACATGGCAATATACAATATGACTGAAGTAGGCACTAAGCAATTGAGAGAGAGAGAGAGAGAGAGAGAGAGAGAGAGAGAGAGAGAGAGAGAGTCTGTCTCAGCAACTTCCATAAAGAACTCACCAAGAACAGATAATTATCAAAATGATGAGTATCTCTGGTATTTCTACTTCTTCCTTATACAGAGTGTGACAGAAGCCAGCTGGGCACCAGTGGCTCACACCTGTACTCCTAGCTAAACAGGAGGCTGAGATCCGAGAATCATGGTTCAAAGCCAGCCCAGGCAGGAAAGTCTGTGAGACTCTTAACTTCAACTAATCAGCAAAAAGCTGGAAGTGGAGTGGTGGCTTAAGTGGTAGAGTGCCAGCTTTGAGTGGAAAAAGTCAAGTTAGAGAGTAAGGCCCTGAGCTGGAGGCCTAATACTAACACACACACACAAAATAAGCCAATGAATCAGAAAGAGACAGAGCAGACTGGAATACTGAGCTTTTCTTTTGAGACAGAATTTAGTAACAAGCCACCTCTGAGGATACATTCCGGTCTCTTGGTGTGGTGCTTACTTGAGGGCAGTTCTGTAGTGGTAGACTGCTTCCTTGTTCCGACCCTGGTCCTTCAGGAAGTTGGCGTAGTTGTAATGAACCTTGGCATTGTGTGGCAGAGTCTCAACTCCAGACCTAAAATAGATGCATTGTAATAAAGTTTTTTCTTTTTTATCTTTTTTGTTGTTGTTGGTTGTGCGGCTTGTGCACTGTCCTTGAGCTTTGTCACTCAAGGCTAGCGCTCTACCACTTTAAGCCACAGCTCCATTTCTGGTTTTCTGGTAGTTAATTGGAGATAAGCATCTCAAGGACTTTCCTGTGATCCTCAGATCTTAGCTTCCTGAGAAGCTAAGATTATAGGTATGAGCCACCAGCACCTGACTTTTAAAGTAGTTTTTAAAAAGTACAATAAGGAATATAATTTTCAGATTTGCTCCTGACTCCATTTCCTGATCCTGTATTTGAAGTTGTCCTTGTATCCAGACAAAACAAGATTTCTAAAATTTATGAATTATATAATTAACCACACAATTTTCTAGAGGAAATGATAAAAGCAGTACAAAATTGGAAATACACTAATTGAGCATGAACAAAATGTTATAGACAGGTAGGTAGAAGAGCTTTTTTGTTTGTCAGTTGTGGGGCTTGAACTCAGGGCCTGGGCACTGTTCCTGAACCTCTTTGTACTCTACCACTTGAGCCACAGCACTACTTCTGGTTTTTGAGTGGTTAATTGAAGATAAGAGTCTCATGGGCACTTTCCTGCCCAGGCTGGCTTCAAACTCCAATCCTCATATCAGATCTTTGCTTCCTGAGTAGCTAGGATTATAGGCATGAGCCCCAGTCCTGGTGCCTGGCTAGAAGAACTTAAAAAAAAATCAAGATAGGGACACAAGTGGTTTTTTCTTTCTTGCTATTGTTTCTAACATATTTATAATGTACCATGTGATTTTTTTTGTTTCTTTGTATGTTCCTCCCCCATGGCATAACCCCTGTTTTCACTGTATTTGATGGCAGTGCCCTACATCTTGTATATACACGTCTCTAATTTGGGGAGGAGAAAGGAAAAAACAAAATGCTTAAATGGGGATACAGTTTGACCCATGGTAACAATGAGATGCACAAGACACTATGTTGAAAAACAAACAAAGGAGGAGGTAACAATGCTTGATAGGAAATGTACTCATTACCTTGCTCATGTAACTGTAACTCCTCTGTACAGTATTTTTACAATAAAAAAAGTATGAAAAAATCGGCTAGAGACACACCTGGGCATGCTGTGAGGCATGACCTGAGGCTTGCTCTCAAGAGCTAGTTATATACCTTGGGGTACCTCACCCAAACAAGAGGCAACCCTGCAAAAAGCAGAGTAGACTTTGCTAATTCCAGATGCTGTGGGCAGAAGGTGCTCTGGGGATTCTGAAGGACATGAGCAATCACACTGTGGAGGGGGCTCAGCCTTAGGCGAACCCTTACTACCTCTCTCATATCTATGTCAGGAGCAGACTGCCCCAGTGATCTCTGTGTGCCCAATACAGACAGCAGGTGACAGTGGATTCCATACATGAGAAGGCACAGTCCAGAGCCACAGGGCCCCCAAAAGCTGAGGTGGGAGATGATGTGCAGGACCTTTGTTCTCTTCCATTCTACTGTCCTTCAACACTGGACCCATGCAACCTGTGAGTGTGAAACCCTCTCCATCACCTCCCTCCACTCCACAATCACTGTGACCACATGGCACCCCAGGCTGCGATGTTCAAAGGCATGGACTAGGAACTTCAAAAGGTCTGTAACCACTCAACAGCAGTGGGTAGTAAATATGGGGTTCACTGGGAGAGACTATCGTATGTATGGCCGTAGAATAGATGGTATAGGGCAAATGAAAAAAAAAATCTGAAAAGAAATGCAGCCCAGTAGAATCACTAGAGGGCTACATTGCAGAAATCTGATGGTTTGATAAAATTAGTTTGCAAGTATTTCTCTGCAGTGCAGTAACCTGCACACCTGTTCAGGATCTGTGGAGTGTCATGCCCCATCCCAGAGAATGGAGATATAAATTAACCCAAGTCTCTCCCTTCTGGGAACTTACTAGGGTAAGGAAATAAAGGCAGTAAGGCAAATGGGGTGATTTGCAATACTGGCTTCTAGTTGAATCATCTATCAGTTAAGCTTGGTAGGATTATGACAATGACAGGAAAGCTGAGATTTTATAAAGAAGAGAAGTGAGCCAGCACTGATGGCTCACGCCTGCAATCTGAGCATCTCAGGAGGGTCAGTTAAAAGGATGATGTGTTCAAAGCCAGCTGGGGCAGGAAAGTCCATTTTAGTCTTCAAGTAATCACCAAAAAAAGCCAGAAGTGGAGCTGTGGCTCAATGATAGTGTGCTAGCCTTGAGCTTTGTAAGCTCAGGGACAGTACCCAGACCCCTGAGTTCAAGCTTCTGGACCAGCACCAAAAAAAGAAAAGAAAAGAAAAGAGAGAGAACTGAATTAGCTGTTGGGAACAGACCATCCGAAGCAGCGGGCCCAGAGAAAAGAGAATGGGGGCTTTTCAGGGACCGAAAGAAATTCAGATCACCAAGGACACGTCTGAATAGTACGGAGACATCAAAGGGTCTCAGGGCCACTGCAACGTTTGAGTTTTTGCACAATGATTAGTTCCAAGCACAGAACCAGAATCATAGTTGAGCTTCTGAGAGGACTGTAATGGCTGTAGTGCAGAAAGAGATTGGAAGAAGGAAAGGCTGGAGGCTCAGAGACCTGATGAGTACTATCACGGAAATGGAGATGTGGCTCAAGTGGTAGAGCACCAGCCTTGAGAGAACAAGCTTTCAAGGGCTTGAGTTCAAGCTCCACCACACACAAAAATAAATAAGAATGAGTACTACTCAAGGTGAATTTATAGACAGGCTCTGGATCAGGGTGAATGTAACAGTTAGAAAAAATTGAATTTCTGGTTGGAGGCATGGCTGAGTTGGTAGAGCAATGAGCAAATGCACCAGACACTGAGTTCAAGTCCCTGTCTTGGACCTGAAAAAAAAAAGGAAAATTAAAGTTCTATCCATGGATAGAACTTTCAGAGCTTTCTATCCAGAATTCAATGGTGCCTGGTAAACAGTCCGGTTCTGAGATGACCTGGGATCACACTGACACGATCATGATGTCGAGTCTTTCTTCTGTGGAATGCGGGCCAGAGAATCCCAGGTCTATGAACACACTGGCCTGCATGCGCTCAGGGTGGAATTGGGGCCGTGGAGAGGAAATATTCACAGGCAAGCAGGTGGGTGGGGTAACGAACACTCCACCACACAGGGCTGTTCCCATGGCTGTTTCTGACCTTTGTGATATTTTTCTCCTGTTTTTCCAGACCTCATTGTACAATGAATAGTTTGCAAAAGTAAATAACTAGCCAAAGACAACACTTTCCCTGAAAATGAAACTGGCTAGGTGGCCCTGGCCTCCTGAGCCAGGGACCCCATCCTGCCTTCAAGCTCTAGTTTACCACGTCCATGTGTTTCAGTGGAAACACTTCAGCTTTACAGTGCTTACTCTGAAGAAACAATGTAGTGTTCATAAATCACATGGCTGGAGCAAAGCCTGGTTAATAACTGCACTGAGGATTGTTAAAATCCTCATTCATTCATTTACTTATTAAGTGCTGGACCTGGGGCTTGAACTCAGTGCCTGGTCACTATACTTGAGCTTTTCTTTGAACCATGACTCGCAGATCTTAGCCTCCCGAGTATTAGCATTATAGACGTGAGTCACCAGCACCTAGCAAAAGTCATTTTTTTTTTGGTTGGTCATGGGGCTTGAACTCTGGACTTGGGCGCTGTCCGTCCCTCAGCTCTTTAGCTCAAGGATAGTGCTCTACTATTTGAGCCACTTCCAGTTTCTGGTGTTTAACTGGAGATAAGCGTCTCATGGACTTTCCTGCCCAGGCTGGCTTTGAACCATGATCCTCAGATCTCGGCCCCCTGAGTAGTTAGGATTACAGTCATGAGCCTACAGCGCCCAGCAAAATCACCCTTTAATTCAGTACTTTAACATATGCATTTCATGTTTCTCCTCTACACCTCTTCTTAGCAGAAGACTTGAGAGGAACCAGAAAGAAAATAGCCACTTTGAAGTCAGATTCTGGTGGCTCATATCTATAATCCTAGCTACTCATGAAGCTGAGATCTGAGGAGCAAAGTTTCAAGCCAACCTTGGTAGGAAACTCTTATCCACAATTAATCAGCAAAAACCTGGAAGTGGAGATGTGGCTCAAGTTGTAGAACACCAATCTCGATTGGAAAAAACAAAGAGAGTGAGACCCTGAGTTCAAGCTCTAGTATCTCTCTCTCTGTCTCTCTCTTTTTCTGTCTGTCTCTCTCTCTTTCTCCCACACACAACACACACACGCACACACACAAAGAACCACTTGTATCAAGTGCATCCTTCAGGTTTTAGAAGAGTAGTTTGTTTTGCTGGTGTTATGAAACAATAGGTTAGCACAATAAAACTCAAATTCCTAGTTAGAAAACAATTTTGTGTGTACATGTGTGTGTGCTGGTACTGGGGCTTGAACTCAGGACCTCACACTCCAACTTGGCTTTTCACTCAGGCCTGGTTTATTTACTACCTGAGCTATACCTCCACTTCTGCCTTTTTGTTGACTAACTGGAAATAAGAGTCTCAGAGACTTTTCTATCTGGACTGGCTTTGAATCTTGATCCTCAGCCTCTTGAGTAGCTAAGATTATAGGTGTGAATGTGATATCAATATGCCAACCTCATTCTTCAATGAAATAGAAGAAGCAATCCAAAAATTAATATGGAACAATAAAAGACCCCAAATAGCAAAAACTATTTTTAGCAGAAAGAACAGCGCGGAAGCAATATCAATACCAAATTTCAAACTCTACTACAAAGCCATAGTAATCAAATCAGCTTGGTACTGGCACAAGAACAGACCTGAGGACCAATGGAATAGGACTGAAGACCCAGAAATGAACCCACAGACTTATAGTCATCTAATCTTTGACAAGGGAGCTAAAAGAAAATAGAATGGAAGAACGACAGCCTTTTCAGTAAATGGTGCTGGCAAAATTGGTTAATCACCTGTAGAAAACTAAAGCTGGATCCTTAAATATCA